TGGGACTATGGTAAAAAGACTGATCCTGTGATTGATTGGACTACATGAAGGAGACAGGGATAATGGAAACAAGCTGGAAAAGACACTTCAGGATGCAATTCAGGAGAACTTCCCCATCCTACCAAGACAGGCCAACATTCAAATTCAGGAAGTACAGAGAACACCACTAAGATATTCCACAAGAAAATCAATAACAAGACCCATAATCATCAGATCCTCCAAAGTCAAAATGAAGGAAAAAAATGTTAAGGGTGGCCAGAGAGAAAGGCCAGATCACCTACAAAACAAAGGGAAGCCCATCAGACTAACATTGGACCTCTCAGCAGAAATCTTACAAGCCAGAAGAGAGTGAGGGGGTCAACATTCAACATTCTTAAAGAGAAGAATCTTCAACCCAGAATTTCATATCAAGACAAACTAAGCTTCATAAGCAAAGGAGAAATAAAATATTTTCTAGTCAAGCAAATGCTGAGGGATTTCATCACCACCAGGCCAGCCTTGCAAGAGCTCTTAAAGGAAGCACTAAATATGGAAAGAAAAAAGAAAAGTCACTGCAAAATCACACCAAAATATAAAGACCAATGACACTATGAAGTAACTGCATCAGTAAGTGTGCAAAATAACTAGATGGCATCATGATGACAGAATCTAATTCACACATAATAATTCTAACCTTAAATGTAAATGGGCTAAATGCCCCAATTAAAAAATGCAGGTTAAAAAAATGGATAGAGTCAAGACCACAAAATTACATGAAAGTTGAACAAGCTGCTCCTGAATGACTTCTGAGTAAATAAAAAAATTAAGGAAGAAATAAAGAAGTTCTTTGAAATGAATGAGAACAAAGAAAAAATGTACCGGAATCACTGGGACACAGCTAAAGCAGTGTTAAGAGGGAAAGATATAGCACTAAAATACCCACATCAGAAAGACAAAATAATCTCAAATTGACACCCAAACATCACCAGTCAAAGAGCTAGAGAAGTAAGAGAAAACTAATCCAAAGCTAGCAGAAGACAAGAAGTAACTAAAATCAGAGCAGAATTGAAGGGACAGAGACATGAAAACTTTCCCCCAAAAAAATCAATGAATCTAGGAGCTGATTTTTTGAAAAAATAGCAAGATAGACTGCTAGAAGAATAAAGAAAAAAAGAGAAAAATCAAATAGACACAATAATAAATTATAAAGGGGATATCACAACTGACACCGCAGAAATACAAACTACCATCAGAGACTACTATAAATACCCCTAAACGCATATGCTAGAAAATCTAGAAGTAATGGATAAATTCCTGGATGCATACAACCTTCTAAAACTGAAACAGGAAGTAGTCAAAATCCCAAAAAGACCAATACAAGCTCTGAAACTGAGGCAGTAATTAATAGCCTACCAACCAAAAAAAAGAAAAAAGAACAAAAAAAAAAGCCCAGGACCAGATGGACTTATAGCCAAACACTACCAGAGGTACAAAGAGGAGCTACTTTTATTCCTTCTGAAACTATTTCAAACAATTGAAAAGGAGGTACTCCTCCCCAACTCATTTTATAAAGCCAGCATTCTCCTGATACCAAAACTTGAAAGAAACACAATAAAAAAAAAAAAAGAAAGAAAACTTCAGGCCAATATTCCTGATGAACATCGATGCGAAAATCCTCAATGAAATACTAGCAAATCAAATACAACAGCACCTCAAAACACTTTTCCACCACAATCAAGTTGGCTTCATCCCTGGGATGCAAGTTTGGCTCAACATATGTAAATCAACAAATGTAATCCATTCCATAAACTAAACCGAAGGCAAAAATGACATGATTATCTCAATAGATGCAGAAGGAACCTTCAATAAAATTCAACATCACTTCATGTTAAAAACTCTCAATAAACTATGTATTCATGGAACATATCTCAAAATAATAAGAGCTATTTATGACAAACCCACAACCATCATCAGATTGAAATGGCAAAAGCTGATAGCATCACCTTCAAATACCAGTGCAAGACAAGGATGCCCTCTCTCCCACTGCTATTAAACAAAGTACTGAAAGTTCTGACAAGGGCAATCAGGCAAGAGAGAAAAATAAAGGGTATTTAAATGGGAAAAGAGGAACTCAAATTGTCTCTCTTTGCAGATGACATGATTCTGTATTTAGAATACCCCATCGTTTCAGCCCCAAAACTCCTTAAGCTGATGAGCAACTTCAGCAGTCTCAAGATATAAAATCAATGTGCAAGAATTACTAACATTCCTTTACTGGCAATAGACAAACACAGAGTCAACTCATGAATGAACCCCCATTCACAATTGATACAAAGAGAATAAAATACCTAGGAATACAGCTACCAAAAGATGTTAAGGACATCTTCAAAAAGAACTGCATACAGCTGTTCAAGGAAATAAGAGAGGGTATAAACAGAAGGGAAAACACTCCATCTTCATGGATAAGAAGAATCAATATTGTGAAAATGGCCATACCGCCCTAAGTGATTTATAGGTTTAATGTTATTCACATCAAACTACTATTGACATGATTGCAAACTATGCTACAAGGCTGTAGTAACCAAATCAGCATGGCACTGGTACAAAAACATAAATACAGACCAATGGGATAGAACAGAGACTCAGAAATGACACCGCACATCTACAACCATCTGATCTGATCTTCAACAAACCCGACAAAAACAAGCAATGGGGAACGGATTTCCTACTCAATAAATGGTGCTGAGAAAACCAGTTAGCCATAGACAGAAAACGGAAACTGAATCCCTTCCTTACACATTATACAAAAATTACCTCAAGATGGATTAAAGACTTAAATGTAAAACCCAAAACCATCAAAACCCTAGAAGAAAAGCCAGGTAATACCATTCAGGACTAGGCATGGGCAAAGAATTCATTACAAAAATACCAAAAGCAAGTGCAACAACAAAAACCAGAGTTAACAAATGAGATCTAATAAAGAGCTTCTGCACAGCAAAAGAAACTATCATCAGAGTGTATAGGCAACCTACAAAATGGGAGATTTTTTTTTGTAATCTATCCATCCAACAAAAGGCCTAATATCCAGAATCTACAAGAAAATTAAACAAATTTACAAGAAACAAAAAACCCCATCAAAAAGTGGGCAAAGGATATGAATATACACTTCTCAAAAGAAGACATTTGAATGTCCAAGAAACATATTAAGAAAAAAAAAGCTCAACATCACTGATCATTAGAGAAATACCAATCAAAATCAAAATTAGATACAATTTCATGCCAGTTAGAATGTTGATAATTAAAAAGTTAAGAAACAATAGATGCTGGCAAGCCTGTGGAGACATAGGAACACTTTTACACTATTGTTGGGAATGTTAACCAGCCGAACATTGTTAAAGACAGTTTGGCAATTCCTCAAGGATCTAGAACCAGAAATACCATTTGACTCAGCAATCCCATTACTGGGTACATACCCAAAAGAATAAAAATCATTCTACTATAAAGGCACATGCACAGGTATGTTTAATGCAGCACTATTTACAATAGCAAAGACATGGAACCAACTCAAATGTCCATCAATGACAGATTGGATAAAGAAAGTGTGGTACTTATACACCATGGAATACTATGCAGCCATAAAAATGAATGAGATCATATCCTTTGCAGGAATATGGATGAAGCTGGAAGCCATCATCCTCTGCAAACTAACACAGGAAGAGAAAACCAAACAAGATATGTTCTCACTTATAATGGGAGTTGAACAATGAGAACACATGGACACAGGGCCAAGTGGAGGGAATTTATAGGACAGGTTAATAAGTGCAGCAAACCACTAAGGCATACATATACCTTTGTAACAAACCTGCACATTCTGCACCAGACCTTAAAGTAAAATAAATAAATATATATATATATAATAATTTTATCTCAGTATTAAATATATTTTTAATATGTTGTGTATCTGTGTTATTCCTTTTAAAATGTATTCACTCAATTTAAAAAATAGTTTATGCATACTTACTCAAGATGAATTTTTTGATTATAAAAATTATCTTTAACAATCTGTAGCTTACATATATTTAATATTTATTAAAAATAAACCTTTGACACATGCACACATATGTTCATTGCGGCACTGTTTACAATACCAAGGACTTGGAACCAACCCAAGTGCCCATCAGTGATAGACTGGATAAAGAAAATGTGGCATATATACACCATGGAATACTATGCAGTCATAAAAAAGGATGAGTTTATGTCCTTTGTAGGGACATGGATGAAGCTAAAAACCATCATTATCAGCAAACTCACACAAGAACAGAAAACCAAACACTGCATGTTCTCACTCATAAGTGGGTGTTGAACAATGAGAACACATGGACATAGGGAGTTGAACACCACACACAGGGGTCTGTTTGGGGGTGGGGGGCTAGGGGAGGAATAGCAGAGGGTAAGGAGATTGGGGAGGGATAACATTAGGAGAAATGCCTAATGTAGATGACGGGGGATGGAGGAAGCAGTCCACCATGGCATGTGTATACCTATGTAGCAATCCTGCAAGATCTGCACATCTACCCCAGAACTGAAAGTATAATAATAATAATAATAGAAATATTCAGAAAAAGTAAAAATAAATATTTATCTATTTTTTGAGCCTCTAAATTTGTTGCTGCCCTTCATGTAATATTCCCTCAGTCTTCAGAACTCCATTTCACAGTCATAGGGTGGAGAAATTAAGGAAGGAGAAGAGTTTAACAATTCAAGCCATCCTTTGCTTATTCTACTTTTCTCCACCTGCTTATGAATAATTTCTTTCTTATTCACTTTTGAAATATTTGAAATGCAGATGTCTATATTGTACTTTCCTTTTTATATTGGGAAAGCACCCCTCAGGTGTTGCTGGAATATGCCTTCGTGTATGTTATTAAGAAAAGATTATTGAACTTCATTTGCATGTGTGGTGTGAGAAAAATAATAGGTATTTTTTCATTCTAATTAATTTTATCTTAATATGATTACAGAATTGCAATATCCAAGACTTGAATCTAGCATCAGTAAAGTGTTACCAGGTGAGTGAATTATTAAATGCATCAAAGTCATCAAGCCATCATTTACCCATGTGTTTGTCTCTTCAAGGGAAATTTGCTAGCATTAAGAAATTGTGTATATTTTTATGTAAGCACTTTTTCACTGAACCAGCTGCTTAAGAGAAAATTGCTCTCTTTCTTTTTTAAGTGAGAGACAGACCATGAGTTAGATAGGCATTTATTATTTAAGAATAGTATAACTTAATGATAGACCATGAGCAAAGAGTCTATTCAGAGAGAAGAGGGAGGACAAAAAGAGAAATACTTAGAGTTTCTCAGGTGGTTCAATATATATTTTTTAATCTGTAAGGACAAATAACAATAGCTTTGAGAAAATTAAAGGATAAATTACAGCTAGAACAATGGCTAGAAACTTATTAAATAGATTTATTGTGTATTTTCTGGTTTGTATTATTTCTGGTTCACATTATAGCTTTTTCCAATAGAAAACCAAATTTTCCATGAAGTAATAATTTTTCTGAGTAAAAAATATTATGAAATATCTTTTAATTAGTATTACTATTTTAATTATATTGTTTAAGTAAAATGTGTTATTTTGAAATGTAAAGGTAGATGTTTCCTATTTTGAAACCATATCACTTATAATTCAAACTCAGATGTTTCTTATTTTGAAACTATATCATTTGTAATTCAAACTAAACAAAATATGGGACTAAGATTTCAAACAGAAGAGAGTCCTAGATAGATGATGTATTAGTCTCTTCTTATACTTCTAATAAAGACATACCCGAGACTGGGTACTTTATAAAGAAAAGAGGTTTAATTAACTCACAGTTCTACATGTCTGGGGAAGCCTTATAATCATGGCAGAAGGAAGAGAAAAAAAGTCATGTCTTCCAGGGCAGCATGCAAAGAGAGAATGAGAACCAAGAGAAAGGGGAAACCTCTTATAAATCTATCAGCTCTCATGAAACTTATTCACACCATGAGACTGCTACAGAAGAAACCGCCCTATGATTCAATTATCTCCCACCAGACCCCTCCCACAACATGCAGAAATGATGGGAGCTACAATTCAAAATGAGATTTGGTTGGAGACACAGCCAAACCATATCAGATGAGGTCACCATTTTAGAGTTACTTCTTTCCCAATTCAAAAGCAGTAAGATTCTGAGGCATAAACAGATATTTCAGTAGATCCATGAGGGCAAAACAGGAGATCAGGATCCATCAAAGAGGTAGAGCCACGCCACACTTCCTCAACTTGTAGTTGAAAGTCTAATAGGTAATATTCTAGGAGTGAATGTGAACCTGAAATAGAGCATTTTTCCTAGGATAAAAAACAGCAACAACAACAACGTTTCATGAGAATAGAATTTCTGCCTGGCTACAGATGGTCTGGAATTGCTGCTGTAGCTACCTCAGTAACCCTCAAAATAGATGAGTACGTTATTAGGGCATCAAAGTCATCAAGCCATCATTTATCTAGGTGTTTGCCCCTCAACAGAATATCTTTTATTCTCTTAAACATTGTTTAGTACACCAAAGAGTTTTTCCTATTTGATAGATATCTATCAGCATTTATATTAGAAACTAAAACAGAATTTTTAAAAGATAATTAACTTATTTACACATAACAACAAGAAACCCACCACATATTAATACAAATAACATATTTTATTAGGAAAAATATTTTCAAAAAGCACAAGTGAGAAGTACTGCATTGTTTTACATTGGTTGAAATATCTTTAAAGTCTGGTGTAATAGTTGACTGCTAGACTGTATTTTCTCCTTCATTTGACACATTGTGAAAATCACATTTCATGTAGTTTAATAAAAATGACACTGTACACTCATGAGAAAATGAGTGCAAAATGTCAAAATTCATCTTGGTATTACTGTGACAATCATTTGAGGCCAGTGGCCCTCTTGACAGATATCTGCTTCCCCATGGGTTGCCAGACCAAATTTTGAGAGCCCTGCTCTTATTAGCTGCCCGACAATAGCAAACATAGCTCTTCTCTAGAGCAGTGATTATCAATTTTTTTTCATTATCATCATGACAAGAAGCATTTTAAATATACTTTTGCTAATGATACTATCCTCATGAAATTAATAACTAAAAGGAACAATATTTGTTTGGGCAATGGTGAACTTTCAAGAACCATAAACCATTTGAATATCTAAGGGATTTTGTTCATCCCCAAGAGATGATACTGCCATACTATGATTGTAAGCTCTGGAGAAAGTCACTGTCATTCAATAATCTCCACATTTTACAAAATTATTGAACACTAACTACTAGATAGATAACTAGTTGATGGATGATAGATGAGATAGATAAATAGATTGACAGATAAAATAGAAATAGATTCACAGAGGATCCAGTTAATGCAATAATGATACTTTAAAAGACACAAATATTAACAATATAGCACCCCATTTATTCAACATTAAATGATATTGTGAACTTTTGTAGAAAGATGAAAACAAATTCAACAAAAGTGAGTTCTATATGTAAATATAATTTAAAGAGTATTTATGTGGAAAATAACCAGCAAATACTTTTAAAAATATGAGAGATGAGGAGGCTACTTCTAAAAAACTTTAAAATTTAAAGTAAGTGTAGATTCACAAGAAGTTGCTAAAAATAGAGATCTCATATGTACTTTTCACCCAGGTTCCCCAAATGGTGACATCTGCATAATTATAAAACAATATAACCAGAATATTCCCACTAGCAGAATACATAGAGTTTATTCAGACTTCATAAATTCACATGTAACACGAATGTGTATATATATAATCCTATGTAATGTGGTTACATAAAAATATGCACCACCACAATCCAAATACAAAGAAATTCCACCAATAGTCTCTCTCTTTCTTTTCTTCTGTTGCCATACTTGTCCTCTGACATCTTTCACCGATGGCAACAACTAATCTTCACAAAAATTTTGTTATTTTGAAAGTGTTATTAAAAGGAATACACAGTATGTATCTTTTAGAAATTGAACTTTTTTCACTGACTATAGTTCTTTTGTGATAACATTCACTTTTTGAAATTTTCGTTTCTCCCCCGGCATTTGTCAAATGATGACACAATATCAAAGGCTGAGAATTAATGTTTTGTCTTGGAAGAGAGCCAAAGAGGGAACAAGTTAGCTAGCAGACTCTTTTGTGGCCTAATGAGGACCAAAGATAGAAATGGACAAAATTGACCCTAGGAAGGACCAGAGCCTGATAAAAAGTAATGAATAACAACCTGCTATGGCTGGCCCTCCCCACAGGGGTGTGGTTAATTATGACGTTCCATGGGATAGGAGGAGAAGCAACTATGTAGGGAGCTACAGATAATTACAGCAAATAACAGGCTGCCCACCATTTAACTGTTCTGAGGAAGCAAGTGTTAGAATTCAGGACTAGCCAGGGGTGGGAAGATGTAGACAATAAATACATAAACATCTTAGTGAAGGCCATAAGAGCTATGCCCTAGGAACAGAGGCAAAACGGAGTTGACAGAAACTTCCCAGAGTTACAATCGATATTTCAATAAATTCTATCCCTAGTTGAATGAAGATAATCAGTCCTTAGTCTGTCTGCATAATAGAAGAAAAAGTCACATTTTCTTCATCCAGTCTACCACTGATGGGCATTGAGTTGATTCCATGTCTTTGCTATTGTGAATACTACTACAATGAACACAGGCATGTATGTATCTTTATAATACAATGATTTATATTCCTTTGAGTATATATTCAGTAATGGGATTGTTGGGTCAAACACTATTTCTGGTTCTAGGTATTTGAGGAATCATCACACTGTCTTCCACAATGGTTGAACTAATTCTTAATCCCACCAACAGTATAAAAGTGTTCCTATTTCTCCACAACCTTACCAGCATCTGTTGTTTCTTGACTTTTTAATAATCGTCGTTCTGACTGGCATGAGATGGTATCTTATTTTGGTTTTGATTTGCATTTCTCTAATGATCAGTGGTGTTGAGCTTTTTTTCATATGTTTGTTGGAGCACCAAGGAATACTATGCAGCCACAAAAAGGAACAAGATCATGTCCTTGGCAGGGACATGGATGGAGCTAGAAGCCATTATCCTCAGCAAACTAATGCAGGAACAGAAAACCAAACAAGGCATGTTCTCACCTTTAATTGGGAGTTGAACAATGTGAACACATAGATACAGGGAGGGGAACAACACACACTGAGACCTGTTGTGGGGGGCAGCAGGAGGGAGAGCATCTGGAAAAATAGCTAATACATACTGGTTCTAATATGGAAGTGGTGGGTTGGTAGATGCAGAAATCACCATGTCACATGTTTACCTATGGAACAAACCTGCATATCCTGCACATGAACTTAAAATTAAATTTAATTTAAGTTTAAATTTAAACTTAAACTCTCCTCATGAAATTAATAACTAAAAGGAACAATATTCCTTTTAGGAACAATAATAACTAAATAACAATAATAAATAAATAACTAAAAGGAACTAAAAGGAAAAATATACCTCCTAACATCCAAACAATAAACACACACTAGGCATACTAAGAGACAGAAATGATGTTACAGAAAAACAATACAATAAAAATAATGCAAGCAGACCTGCAGTTGATGTAAATATGGGAGTTAGCAGATAAAATAATAATGTATTTAATGGGATTCAGTTAGGAGTTGAAATGTTAGCAATAGCTAAAGTGTTTACAATGATAAAATAAAATATATTAATATTTCAATATTATTTAAGTAATCAAATAATAAACATAAACAACCATAGACAATATGTTGTTTTTAACTACAGTCACTATGACATTCAATGGATGTCCTGAGTGGATATTTAGACTTGACATTAAATAAACAGATCTATATACAAATCAAGATTCTAGACTCAGCACAAAAATGAAAATTGTTAAAATATAAGGGAGTTTTAAAATAAATTATACACAACATAAGACAATAAGCTACTGATAAAGAAAAATACAGACAGCTAAAATGACCAATACCAAAAATTAAATGCAATTTTCCTACAGAGCCTTTAATTTAAAATTTACAGGTAAAGGACAAATTTCTAAAACATCTAGATATAGATAAGCAATACTACTTTTATTTTTCATTTCGCATGTCACTTAAATATGACATTTGCCTTAAATGCCCACTGATATGTATTTAGTTATTGACAAATAAAAATATATGTATATTTCTAGTATATAACATGATGCCCTGATCATTGTAAACATAGTGAAATAACTAAATCAAACTTAACACACTCTTGCATACTTAAAATTTTTGTGGTGAGAACACTTAAAATCTACCCTCTTAGCAATATTCAAGTATATAATAGATTGGTATTTAATATAATCACTATGATGTACACTGGATCTCCTATTGTTGGCCACTGGTATGTATTCTTTTTCCTTTTTTTCTTTTTGTTAAGTTTATCCTACTTGGAGGTCTACAATTGGATGAACTGTTTTCCTGGAGTATGTACCCAGAAGTGGGATTGCTGAGTTGAATGGTAGTTCTATTTAAGTTTTTTGAGAAATCTCTAAACTGCGTTCCTTCTAATTGAAATGTTGTATATCTTTATTTACCTCTATCTACCCTCTAGCCTCTGGTAACCTCCATTATTCTCTGTACATATTTTAAAATATATAATCTCAACAATTATTGTAGATGAAAGGGTGCACATGTGTGTTTGTTACATAGGTAAATTGTGTGGCACTGAGGCTTGTGGTTCGTCCCACTGATCCCGTTACACAGGCAGCAAACAGTTCTCAACAGGTGGTTCTTCTGCCCAGTTCCCTCTTCTCCTCCTTCATCTAGTGATCCCCAGTCTCTATTATTCCCAACCTTTCTTTACTTTCACGTGTATTAAATGTTTTACTCACACTTATAAGTGAGAACGTGGTATCTGTTTTTTTTTTTTTTTTTTTTTAGATGGAGTTTTGTTCTTGTTACCCAGGCTGGAGTGCAATGGCGGGATCTTGGCTCACTGCAACCTCCGCCTCCTCCTTCCCTAGTAGCTGGGATTACAGGCACACCCCACCGTGCCCAGCTATTTTTTTTTATTTTTAGTAGAGACAGGGTTTCACCATGTTGACCAGGATGGTCTCGATCTCTTGACCTCATGATCCACCCGCCTCGGCCTCCCAAAGTGCTGGGATTACAGGCTTGAGCCACCGTGCCCGGCCGGTATTTGGTTTTCTCTTCTTGCAGTAGTTCAGTTAAGATAAGGTCCTCTAGCTTCAACCATGTTGCTGCAAAAAAGGTGACTTTATTTATTTTTATGGCTGCATAGTATTCCATGGTGTATATGTACCAAATTTCTTTTTTATCCAATCCACTGTTCATGGGTACCTAGGTTGATTTTATGTATTTGCTATTGTGAATAGCACTGCAATAAATATGAGAATGTGTGTGTCTTTTGATTAAATGAATTATTTTCCTTTGAGTAGGTACCCAGCAGTGGGATTGCTAAGTTGAACAGTAGTTCTGTTTTAAGTTCTTTGAGAAATCTCTAAACTGCTTTCTACAGTAGATAGAGTAGTTTGTATTTCCACTAACAGTCTACAGTATTCCTTTTTCTTTACAGTTTCACCAACTTTAGTTGTTTTCTTAACTTTTTACATAATTGCCATTCTAATTTGTGTATGATCGTATCTCATTGTGGTTTTAATCTGAATTTCTATGCTGATTAGTGATGTTAAGTATTTTTTAATATGTTTCTTGGCCACTGGTATGTATACTTTTTTTTTTTAAAGTTTATTCTACTTGGGGGTCTGTTGAGTTACTTGGAGCTGTGTAATAATGATAGTCACCAAATTTGGAAAGGTTTTGACCATTAGTTTCTTTTCAACTTTTATTTTAAGGTCCGGGGTACAAGTGCAGGATGTGTAGATTTGTGACATAGGTGAATGTGTGCCATGGTGGTTTGCTGCACAGATCATCCCATCACGTAGGTATTAAACCCAGCATCTGTTAGCTATTCTTCCTTATGCTCTTCTTCCCCCGCCCCTGACAACAGGTCCCAGTGTGTGTTGTTCCCCTGCATATGTCCATGTGTTCTCATCATTCAGCTCCCACTAACAAATGAGAACATGCACTATTTGGTTTTCTGTTCCTGCACTGTTTAGTTTTCTGAAAATAATGGTTTCCAGCTCCATCCATGTTCCTGAAAATTATATGATCTCATTCCTTTTTATGGCTGCATAGTATTTCGTGGTGCAAATGTATCACATTTTTTTTCTTTTTTTTTTTTAAATTTTACTTTAAGTTCTGGGATACATGTGCAGATCTTGCAGGATTGTTACATCGGTACACAAGTGCCATGGTGGTTTGCTGCATCCAACCCCCTGTCACCTATGTTAGGTATTTCTCCTAATGTTATCCCTCCTCTAGCCCCCATCCCCCAACAGACCCCAGTGTATGATGTTCCCCTCCTTGTGTCCTTGTGCTCTCATTGTTCAACATCCACTTATGAGTGAGAATACGTGGTGTTTGGTTTTCTGTTCTTGTGTCAGTTTGCTGAGAGCGATGGTTTCCAGCTTCATCCATGTCCTTGCAAAGGACATGAACTCATCCTTTTTTATGGCCGCATAGTATTCCATGGTGTGTATGTGCCACATTTTTCATTAGATATATGCAAATCAAAACCACATTAAGATAACATCTCACACCAGTTAAAATGGTGATCATTAAAAAATCTGGAGATAACATGCTGGAGAATATGTGGAGAAATAGGAATGTTTTACACTGTTGGTGGGATTGAAAATTAGTTAAACCATTGTGGAAGACAGTGTGGAGATTCCTCAAGGATCTAGAAATAGAAATACCATTTGACCCAGCAATCACATTCCTGGATATATACCCAAAGCATTACAAATCAATCTATTATAAAGACACATGCACATGTATGTTCATTGCAGCATTGTTTACAATAGCAAAGACTTGGAACCAACCCAAATGCCCAGGAAAGATAAACTGGATAAAGAAAATGTGGTATGTATTCTTTTAAGAAATCTCTGTTCACATCCTTTGCCCATTTTTAATTGAATTTTTTATTGTTTGCTTATTTATTTGTTTAGTTTCCTGATGGATTCTGGATATTAAACCTTTGTTAGTTGATGCATAGTTCTACGCATACTGTCTCCCATTCCACAGACTGTGTACTTACTCTCTTGGTAATTTATTTTGCTGTGCAGAAGCTCTTAAGTTGAATTAGGTCCCAATTCTCAATTTTTGTTTTTTGTTGCAATTGTTTCTAGGGACTTAGCCCTAAATTATTTGCCAAAGGCAATGCTTAGAGGATATTTTCTAGATTTTCTCCTATTATTTTTGTAGTTTGAGATTTCACATCTAAATCATTAATTCATCTTTTAGTTAATTTTCACATATGATTAGAGGTAGGGGTCCAGTTTTGAATCTAACTTTTCTAGATTTCACATATGAATAAAATCATGGGTTATTTGTACATCTGTGCCTGGATTATTTTGCTTAATACAACGTTCTCCAGATCCATCCATATTGTTGCAAATAGCAAAACTTTTTCCTTTTCATTGTGTGCATGTGTGTGTATACATATATACACCCAATTTCCCTTATTTATTCTTTCAATGATGGACACTTGGTTGGTTCCAAGAGTCCATATTTTGGCTATCATGAATAACACCACATTAAAAAAAATTTGGCTGTTATGAATAACACCACATTAAAAAAAAATTCTAAAGCAGTGGCAACCCAAATGTGGCCAAATAAAAGTGACACGTATGCATCCTTACCTCAGTGGTCTTGAGGACACTCACTAGATCTAACCGTTCTTTCTACTTTAAAATATTGTCTTCCCTTTGTTTTCATAATACCTCATTTCCTTGCTTCCTCTTCTTAGTTTTTTTTTTTGCAAGGCATCTGTCTTGATTCAATTTGTAGAGGCAGAAATTTCTCCAGATTTATCTGTTTCCTACACATTTTTCTTAGCAGATCTTAGTCTATCAATATGTATATGAATCTCAGTTTTCATCTGTGTTTCAGGCTTGCTTTTCTGCATTTCATACACATGTATCTAATTTCCACCTTCACTATATGGGAGTAAATATGTTACAGGATCTCAGTATAAACCTGTTTATAATTGAACACGTCGTCTTCCTTCCCCAAACCTGTTGTTCACTCCTTTGTCTCCCCCACCGTATCACTGATCCACGGAGGTGCTGAAAGCAATATCTACTATCCCCTTTTACCCTCATATCTAATCTTCCAACAAAAAAATACTAAAAAATCAATTCTCAAATTGTCAATTGAAATTCTTTACTTGGTTATATTTTTATTAACATGACTCTTGTTCATATTAGCCTTATTTTTCCCCTACATATCTGTAACCATCTTAACAGTACCCCTCATCCACTCTCTGCTTTTTAATTGAATTTATAAATTGACAAGTAAAAATTGTGCATGTTTATTCTATACAAATATCTACTTTATTCTTCCTGATACCCTTGCCACTCTCTGCCATGGTCACCTTTTATTTTAAGTGCAATCACATGCTGTATAAAAACATTTCAATGAACAACAAACCACGTGCTGGACAGTGGTCCCATAAGATAATAATGGAGCTGAAAAATTCTTATCATCTAGTGACATTGTAGCCATTCTTATGTCTCAGTTCAATGCATTACTCACACGGTTGTGGCAATGCAGGTATTAACAAACCCACCACACAGCCAGTTGTATAAAAGTATAGCACATGTAATTGTGTATATTACATAATATTTGATAATGATAATAAAGAACTGTGTTACTGGTTTATATATTTATTATGCCATACTTTCCATCATTATTTTAGAGTAATCTTTGAAAAGTTGTACTTTTCTGCTTATTAAAAAAAACTGTACATCAGCCTCAGGCAGGTCCTTCAGGAGGTATTCCAGAAGAAGGCATTGTTATCATAAAATACGACAGCTGCATGCAAGTTATTGCCCTCGAAGATCTTCCAGTGGGACGAGATGCGGCGGTGGAAGACAGGGATAGTGATAATCCTGAGCCTGATTGGGCTGAGGGAAATTAGTTTTTAACAAAAAAAATTAAATATTAAAAAATATATAAAATGTTCCAAATACAAAAAAGCTTAAATAATAAGGAAATCAAAATAAAATAATTTTGTATACCTGTACAATGTGTGTTAAGATGTGCTATTATGGAAGTGTCAAATGTTAAAAAATAAAAAGTTTCTAAAGATAAAATATTATGGTAAACTAAGATTAATTCATTATTGAAGAAAGAAATATTTCTAAATAAATTTGGTGTTGACTCCATGTACAGTATTTACAAAGTGCACAGTAGTGTCCTGGGCCTTCACATTTACTCGCCACTCACTCACTGTCCCACTCACCGCTACTTCCAGCCCTGCAAGCTTCATTCCTGGTAAGTATCCTATACAGGTGTACTGTGTTTTTTATATTGTATGTTTACTGTTTACTGTACCTTTTCTAGATTTAGATATTTTAAATACATAAATACAATTGTATTAAAATTACCTAGCACAGAAATCTGCTGTACAAATGTGTAGCACAGGAGCAATAGGCGATGCTCTATATCTTAGGTGTATAATAGGCTATCCTATCTAGTTTGTGTAATTATCCTCTATAGTGTTCGCACAGTGACATTGACCAAGAACACATTTATCAGAACATATCCCTGTCATTATGCAATGCATGCCTATAACGCTTGTTATAGAATCCTTAAACATATTATTGTACCATGATTTCTTCCTAAAATATGAAATGGTATTTAATGTCTTCCCTCAATGAAAGATAAAGAATTATACCGAGAAACTAGCTGCCTCCAACTTCTCTTTACAAACTTCGTTGGCAAACCTTTAATTTTAATTCACTCCTTCACTTTTGTTTGATCGCAAAGATTATTAATAAAGTTTTTACTTTTAAAACAAAATCTCTGCTTTATTATCTACAAAATTTAAAACTTACTCTTTGGTGTTCTGTAAAGTAACGTGAAGGCTTACGCTCCCCATTATTTTTCTATCTCCCACTTGCAAATATGTCAACCATACTATTATAATTTCAATGTATATAATAGTTACATTACCTGTATATATATTTACATATATTGTTATTTTTATCCTGAGAATAGAAAATCAATTTAAAAGATTTTATATTGTTTTTAACTTTAAATATTTCGAATTTTAATTTTAATATTATATTTACATCCTGCACAATCAGGGAAATTCAATCAATCGATCTATCATGAAAGCCTTGTATCTGTATCATTTAGAGAGTCTCTTAAGCACTGAGATCTAACAGATTATATTTTCTCACACTTCATTATTTGTTCAAAATAGCTTAATGCTGTTCCCTACTTCCCCATCCACGATTTTTTCTCTTTGCCCCTTTTCCTAATCATTAATAATCATTAAATAATAATGATTACTAAATAATCATTAAGATGCCTAGGATCGTGCAAACTTAAATAAATTCTAGTGATTGTTCCATATGAATCTGCTATTTATGTTTGCTATGTAGCTATCCTTTTATAATTCTTATTGAACTGTTGTGTTGAACTTAGAAACCTTTTTGTCCTTGGCTGAGGATCAGTTATTTGTGTAACTAGAAATAAAAAGTATAAATGATTCTCTTTTTTTCTAAAATAGTATTAATTTTGCATTAACACAATTGTTAATCAAAACAGTTGACATGATTATTAACACAATGTTAATACAAACAAGTAAAATGCTTCTTATTCAATAATCTTATATTTTGTTACCATATTTATAATACCAACAAGCACCAGATTCTCTTAAGGTTTAAAAAAGATATTTGTTGATCTGAAATAACCCAGTGATATATCTGGGTATTTTGTTTTATTCCTATTTTTAAAACTCATGGGCTTATATTATTCTTGATTTTGTGAACTTAGTATATGCACAATCTTATTTTGGCCCCATATTTGAACATTCCTTTGAGATTTCCACACTTGGTATTTTCGCTCAAGTGAAATGTGTTTTTTTCTGTTTTTCTTCCAGCCCTTCTTTTCCTTGTTCTTTAATTTGTTTTTAACAACATCGTATCCTTGGGTTTATTTTACAGTATGTTTTATTTAAAAACATCATGGATGCTACTAAAAATTCTATAACTTCATCAACAATAAAACAGATACCTACTGGGCATGGTGGCTCACGTCTGTAATCCCAACACTTTGGGAGGCTGAGGCAGGTGGATTACCTGAGGTCAGGAGTTTGAGACCAGCTTGGCCAACATGGTGAAACTCCATCTTTATTTAAAATACGAAAATTATCTGGGCGTAGTGGCAGGCACCTGCAGTCCCAGCTACTCTGAAGGCTGAGGCAGGAGAATCACTAGAACCCAGTAGGCAAAGGTTGCAGTAAGCTAAGATTATGCCACTCCACTCCAGCCTGGGTGACAGAGTGATACTAAAAAAAAGAAAGACAAAGAGAGAGAGAGACACACCATGTTTCCATATGGGAAGTCTTAATATTAGAAAGATAGAAATGGCCAGGTGTGGTGGCTCACACCTGTAATCCCAGCTCTTTGAGAGGCCGAAGCAGATGGATCAAGAGGTCATGAGATCAAGACCATTTCACTCAACATGGTGAAAACCTGCCTGCTAAAAGTACAAAAATTAGCTGGGCATGGGTGTGCGCACCTATAATTCCAGCTACTCAGGAGGCTGAAGCAGAAGAATCTCCTGAATCTGGGAGGTGGAGGTTGCAGTGAGCTGAGATCCCACCACTGCACTCCAGCCTGGCGACTGAGTAAGATTAGGTATGAAACAAAACAAAACACAGATAGAAATTTACTCTAAGTTAATGATGAGTTATTCAGTTCCAGTAAATATTTTCACTTTGATCTTAAGAGCTGAGGAAGTTGATTATAAATTTTATTCAGAAGAATTGTTTAAAAGAGTAGTTAGAAAACCCAGAAAGGCAATGTGGGGAAGCCAACCATACCAAGCTTTTAAATATCATATAAAGTCTGTGCAGTTAAAACAGTTTAGTATCAACATGGGAACTGACAGGCATACCAATGAAATAAGATAGAAACCCTAGAATTAGACAAAGTATATTTGGAAATTCAGTATACGCTAATGAGACATTTCAAATCAGTGAGGAAAAGATAATTGATGTTTTGATAACTAGGTAGTTTTAGAAAGAAAAAACTGGATCCATTTCTAATCTCTGATTAATCTCAGATTTCTAATTTCAGATTAATATATAAATATAAATTTTCAGATATGAAGTTATGAAAATGGGTGAATGATGAGTGAATTCTTAGTAATGCATAAGTAGTAAAATTTATCTAATAAATATTTAAAATTTAGTGCAGTAATAGAAAGTATAAATTTGATTATACTAAACATTTCATCTCAAAAACACCATAAATAGATCAGGAAGACAAATGATAAACTGAAAAATTAAATTGCTACTTCTTTAAAACAAAATGACTGTTAAATGTATAAAGGGCTTCAAAATTAATCAGGAAAAAAGCAACAACATATGATAATAAAAGAGCAAATAATATGAATACTAAATGCCAGAAAAAGAAATGTCAGTGGCCCTTATACATATGACAATATGTTCAACCTCAGTAATAATAAGGGAAAAGCAAACAAACTTCATTTAGCTATCATTCATTATCTTTCAAGCTTTTAAAAGTCTAAAGGTTGAAGTTGTAGATCACAAAGACATTTATATGTCACTATGGAAATGCAAACTGGCATATCACTCTTTAGGGGAGATTTGACAATGTTTATCAAAATTGCATATTCCTTTATCCTTAGAACCAGCAAACCTATTTCAGAATCCTAGAAATCTATTCAAAGGTAAATTGACAAAAAATAGAAAATGACTTATGAACATTCTTTTCAGCATGATTTTAAATAGCAAAAGACCATAAACAACCTAAATGCTATTTAGGTTGACTGGTTGGATAAATTATGTTGCTTAGGAAACTGGGTAAACAATGAAAAATCAGGAAGTATGCTGCACTGCTGGAAAATGGAACAAACTCTATAATTTACCAAGTAGTTAACTCCAAAATATATTGTTCAATGATGAGTGTAATTTAGATAAAAGTATGTGTACTATTGCAAAAGGAAAATAAATACTGGGGCCCCCAAATCACTAAGCTAAAGGGGAAAGTCAAGCTGGAAACTGCTTAGCACAAGGCTGCCTCCCTTCCTATTCAGTCACCCCTTTGCCCACTGAGATGAATTTGTTATCTCTTTGCCTCATTTAGAGAGGCTAACCAGAAACTCAAAAAGAATGAAACTATTCATATCTTATATACCTATGACTTGGAAGCCCCCTCTCAGCTTTGAATTGTCCTCTTTCCCTCAAGTTGTCTCATCTTTCCAGACTGAGCAAGTGTACATATTATACATATCGACTGATGTCTCATGTCTCCCTAAAATGTGTAAAACCAAGCTGTGCCACCTTGGGCACATGGCATCAGGACCTCCTGTGGCTGTCATGTGTGAACATATAGAACCCTGGCAAAATAAAGTTTTCAAATTAACTGAGACCTGTCTCAGATTTGGGGGTTCACATTTTGGTAACCACAGAGGGATTCTGAATGGGGATACCCCTGACTTGACCAATCTCCTATCAGTGCTTGGTACCAGTATGAGCTAACTGTATGGCTCAAAACTGGGGGAGAATTTGCTGAGGCCTGGGAGCACAGCCTCCAGAGAATCTCTGGTGTCCAAAAATTTGGTTAAGATCTAGAGTGTATTTTACTGTACACCTCCCTTCTTTTTGGAGTTTTACTTGCTTCCAAAAAGGAAGGCAAGATTTCCTGTATCCATCACAATGGAAGGCAGGTATCTCCTTTCTGGAGTTCGAGCTCACTCTTAGCAGGGAAGAAGAGTTTGAGGATTTTTTTCCTTATGATGGGATGATAGAAAGCAGTCTTCAGCCTGAGATCCATCCCTAGGCAAGTAGCTTGGAGTGGGGTTTGGTCTTTGCTAAAGTTTAGCCACCAGCTGGTCTTAATTTCCACTTACATTAGAGCACTCAGTGATCATATTGTTGGGTTTTTGTTGTTGTTTGTTCTGGACTTTCCCCCATCAGATTAGACCAATGTTAA